GTTGCTTGAGACGGGTCAACATGTTGAGCCAGCCGGTGATTTACGCTGGCGGCGGTAGAGGATCCTTGACCGTCGACCTCTTTTTATGGTGGTTCCATCGGGAGTTCGCCGTCACGGCGATGGCCATGCATCCCGACGGCGCTGTGTTGGTCGCGGAGAGCGCCGACTATTTGCCACCCGAAGCCGATTGCATCGCCGCCGACGGTTTGGTCAGGTTATTCGTGGTGCCCAAGGACTGTCTAGAAATGAGGATCGTCATCAGAGAACTGAGAGTCAGACTAGCCATCGGAGTGCTCTCCAGAGCTTCTTGCGGTGTTTATTCTAAACTCTGCAACGCATCCAACGAAACCGATCTCCTAACCGCTTACCTGAAGAGGTTCACGTTGAAGGAGGCGTTCGCCGATCTACATCGTGCCTGGTTGAGTATCAGATCGGAGACGTTCGCCAGAAGCTGGACTTTGCCGCGCGATCGCGAGGAAGCGTCCGGTAGCGCCGGTCCGTCTCTGTCCTCGCGTATCCACGCGTCACCGGAAGAGGAAGAGGACCGGATTCTGCTGATCGAGCTGCAGAACGTGGCTCGGGAAGTGGGTCTGGAGGTCAACGACGAGGAGCTGAGCAGGTGGATCCTCGACGAGGAGAGCGAACTGGCGCGATGCGTTAGGAAGAAGGAGCTTGAAGAGGATCATTGCCGCGTGAAGATCGAGGCGGAGGAGAAGTGGGCCGATTACGAGGGCGCAGAACAGCAACAGGAGGAGGATGAAGAGGAGGACAAAGAAGACGAGCCGACCGCGGAAGAAACTGTCGGTCTGCTGTCGAGGGTGCTGACTTGGATGGAAAGGGAACCTCTCGATCCGGGACTATTACTCGCCGTCAGATCGATGCGCGATACCGCCGCACTCATGGTAAGCACCGACTGATAAGAGACAACCACTCGAGTCCTATCGATCGTCGCCGCGACGCGACGCGACGCGACGCGGAAACCTCCCCCAGGAAAAGAGGGAGCGACCTTGCCAGATTCGCGCGGCTAGATTGAACTAATTCTCCGTTACGGAGAGGGCGGAGGCGGAGCGGAACGAAAGGGACCCAGGAAGGGACGCGACGAGTCGCGCGAGAGGACGCTGAAGGGCCCACTTGAATTCGGCGATACGTCGTCGAGCCGACGGACGGAAAAGCCGAACGAGAACCGAACCCTCGAACGTTCGAGGACCGCGCTCGCCGTCTTTGCAAATTAATGCTCGAGCTCGTCCTCGATAACCGCTCCCCCCTTCGAGAGTTTATTGAATTGTATATTATATTTCCTCTTCGAGAGCATTTTACTCCTCGTGTACCATCCCCGAATCGACGTGGAAATATGCTAATGTTCCACGTTAAATGGGGAGGGAAACGGAAATGGTACTCGAGCCGATCAAAGAAAATCGGATACTTTTTGTTTGATCGTTAAATCGGTCCTGTTTCGTCAGGCTATTTATTCCGTCAAAGGTAGATCGTTTTTAAATTAGAACAATATTGTGTCTCCCTTGTGTTCTTGTTACGATCGTTCACCCAGCTTTTGATTAAACGTTCGTTCGTCTCCGTGCTTTTTATAGACGTACGGAAAAAGAAAGATTTATGACGATTTATTAAATATAGGACGTGTCAGGAATATCATCGATCAGCGACACAAAAAAAAGATAATTTTATGCAACACCTCGTGCAAAACACCTGTCGACGCATACGGGGCTTCGATTAATTATTTCATATCCCTGGGCTGACTAATAATTACCCGCCTGCATTAACGAAGCATTAATCAACACGATATTAATTAATTACTCGATAACGATAATGTAGCGTCGACAGCAGGGACGATACCATTTCACAACTTCCGGCGCTGTAGCTATTTCGGTTTTCGGAGCGTTTACGTTAACTGTGCTTTTGTTTGATTTATAGGCGAGCAAGATGGGCCTTGCGGGGACGCATCCGAGCGGGTTACCCTTCTTCTGCCCCAACGGGGACCATCTGACCCAACCTCCACCTGCTCATATGGGAATTCCACCTTATGGGACGTTGGATGCAGGCAAAGCTGCTGCAGCGGCTGGTGAGTACATCATTCTTAAGTGGGTCGCTTTTGACTCGTTACAAAATGGTTATCACGAATTAGGTTGAGGAAAAGATTTAATTTTGATGCGATAGAAGTCTAGGAATGTTCTATAATTTTATACTCTGATATTCTATAATTATTATATTGTACGATGATTACAGTACACTCTCGTAATAGCGATATAACAGAGCGACACATGTAGTCTAACGAGAAGTAATTTGTCGTGCGGTGATCTATCGCGTGGTAATTTGACGCGTGGTAATTTGGTTTGTGTAGATTTAACACGTAGTAATTTAGCACGTGATAATTTGACGCGTGGTGATCTAACGCGTGGCAGTCTAATGAGTGGTAGTCTATCACGCGGTAATCTAATAGGCTACGTGGTGATATATCACGTAGTGTTCTAACGCGTGGTAATGTATCACCTTGTGTTAGCTACGTATCACGTAGTGTTCTAACGCGTCACACGTTGATCCGCAATATCGCTTAACTTCCGAAAGGCCATATAACGAGAGTTCTGTAAACTACGATCATTTCATTTGACAATTCATCCCTTCCACTCTAAAAACGAGAACTAACAAAGGGAATCGTTAAAAATCCCTAGCCCGAAGGAAAACACTTGTAGAGATCTCGGAGTGCACAAAATGGTGCCCTCAGCTCTCGAGGCGAATGAAAACGGAAAGATAAAAAACGAAGAGTCACGGTCCGTTGTTGATAGTCGTGCAAACATTGATATTCCTACGGGGTCCTAATTGAAGAAATATTTCTTATCGAGTCAAGGGTCCGTCGATGCCGAGGCTCGAACGGGGATGTGGAGAGAACAAGGCGTCCCCAGAGAGGGCGGAGGGGCAGAGAGGGTGAACAAAGAGGGAACGATAGAAAGAGAAAGAGGGATCGAACGGAAGTGGTAGTGGTGGGATAAGAGAGAGAGAAGTGAGGCTCGCGAACTGGCGTCAAGTAGGAGAATAAGAGGAGGACTCACCATTAGGCTAATCAGCCAGGCATGCGGCCTCCCTCTGGCGCCGGGTCAAGGGGGTTTCAACCCGCCTGTCTATTTCTACAGCTTCTCTCCTTCCATCCCTTGTTGCACCCGCCTACGAGAACCTCCCCCGCCTTTTGGGAACCCCTCATCAACTAAAGGGCCCACATACCGCAACCCTGGATATAAATTTATTGGGAATTTCAAGACAACCAATTTTCTTTTGCTACTTTAACCCTTTCAGACTTTTAAGAAACTGAAATAACATCTTGTACTGAATTCTTATTACACCAACATTTCCTATGCTGTAACATCATGTTCCAAATATTTGTATTATAGATGTACATAATGCACAGGGCTTGAAAGGCTGAGTAACTGTTATAGATTATGAATCTTGTACTGAATTCTTACAGCAACATTTCTTAACCATGCAGTGACGTATTGCAAATATTTATATTACAAAATAAATGCACAGGGTTTGGAAGACTTAGAAACTGTTAGTCAATTTTTATTGAACTTTACATACATTACATGTTAGTGCACTAAAAATATTCTAACATTTTGTCAGTGATTTATGAACTTAAATAAGACATAGGAAGACCAGAGACCCAAAATAGTATCAGAAGTGTGATCCACCGTTTTTAATCGTATCTAAAAATTCGTTGTATCAAAGGAACAGTGGTACGACAGAAAGAACATCCCTCTCGCAGCGCATAAAATACCAGCTCACCCCGTCCCACCGATTCCCTGCGATGATAACTCTAATTATGCTCCATTACTTCACAATACGTTTCCCGTGGTCGCTAGAGGAAATAAAATCTTTGAAAGAAAACGATTTTAATTTCCTCTTTCTGCCTCTCGACATATTTCCAGTTTAAATAGATTTTCGAGTGAATAGTCGGTTAGGTGCAAGAATTCCATACTACAATCACGCGAATAATTTTAGAATTTTAATAATTTCAACAGTACTAATAATAATATAGTTATAGTAACATAGACAGTAGTAATAATTTTGAGGTTATACAAATTTTATCGAGAAATAAAAAAATTAGAGTAGAATCTTTGTCGTTGTTTATAATTTGTGAGTGTGGTTTATATCTTGGAGTTATGCAGAGTTGAAGAAAATTTTGCGAAAGTGAAAATAATTTTCGTCCAGATAGTGACACGTTGCGACAGAGATCCCGGCCTGGAGTCTCCGGACGTGTTTGCGCGCGCGCTATCTTTCTATCCTCTCTTGCCTGGGGCCACCCTCTCTCATCCCCGTAGTTCCTGGAATATGTAGATGGGGTTGATAGCGTTTATGCACGACTACGAGTTCGTACGGCGGCTCGGGTTCTTTGTCTTGCAAACGAGCGAGCATTTTGTCCCTCTCCCCGTACTTCTGCCTTCCTTCTACCCCTCTGTTCACCCCCTTTCCTCTTGCTCTCAGAACGGAACGATCTCCGTCTATCCAGCACTGTTCTCAACGCTGTTCAGTCACCACCCACTCGCTACTTCGTTCTCTCGTAGCACCGCCACCTCTCTCGTTCAACCCTCCACCCCTTCTCTTCCCTTCTGTCCTTCTTCTCCGTCTGTTTTCCACCTGTGCTCTCGATCTCGGCCCTATTTTCTCTCCGTCGTTCGTTCGAGAGAGTTTCCAGTGTTCGAAACCCCCGTGGAGTCCACGGGGGTGAACCACCCCTTCTCGCGTCGCTCTCTCGCTTTCACGAATATATTTCTAATTAGCTCCACTTTTCGATCTCCGCCGCGTGTTTATTTCAGGATTCCATGGAAGCGGAGGGAGACAGAGAGAGAGAAAGGAAACGGGGGTTGGGGGTTAGGATACGGAGGGTTGAACAGAGAGGAACGACGATCCCGGCGTTTCGCCGGGGCTCCACCATTGATCCGCTTAATTTTTCTCTCCTCTCGCCACCCCTGCCGCCGGCGATCTTTCCCTTTTTTCCTTTTTCCTTCTGCGATTATGAGGCGTTCCTTCGTTTCGCTGATCTTCCTGCCCCCCTTTTTTTTCTAGCGTTTTTCTCGCACTCTTGTCTCTCGGTCTCGCAACCCTTCCTCACTGCAGTACTATAAACCCTTTGATTTTTCATTTTAGTCTTCCAATTTAAATCCCCGGCAAAAAATTATCATTTCTCTCTCTTTTATCTAGAAGTGTCAACCAAACATTTTTTAATTCATCTTCACATCTCTCTTCAAATACAACACAAATAACGTAATCTAACCAGATACACTGCATCTAAAGAATACAAATTACAAGTCTCAGACTAATTACCCAAACTATTAAAGTCCTAAACTATGTTACTAAAATCTGAACTAAGACCAAAAAATCAGCTAAGACAAAAAATTGCATTTCTAGCTTCTTACACCTCATACCCCATACCTCATCACAAAAATTCAGTAACTTCAGTAACTAAATCACAAAGGCAATCAGCAAGAGTAATCAGCGTAACTTCAGCGTCCGTAAGTTTCAACCCCTAAGGATAACCTAGCAGACCTGTGTTCAACCTGCGCACTCGAGGGGCACTCGAGGTCCGCTTACAAGAAGGATACGTTCAAGTGGTATTTTAACACTCGAACGAGAGGAAAAGTGTATTTACGCCGGCGTGAGGCCGCGATACGCGGGAAATGCCCGACAAAGATGTCAAAGTGACCGCTTGAAACGGCGAGAAAAACCGGAGAACCTACTCGTAAAGGATTATGTGCTCGAAGAATTGTCAGCCACTGGCGAAAGAAGGCCAAGTGGTTCCCGCACGACGGGGGGCTCGTATAGGGGTGCCGATGATACGCCCCTCCATCTTTTTCCTTGTTTGATGTTCTATTATATGGGCTAGTCCACTGGTTTCGTTTGCTTTGGGGGTTGCAACCCTCCTAATGATAGATCGCTTTATCGATGCTTTTTGAAAAGCGTAGAGAATTTGACGGGTTTATTAAATGAACATTTATATCTAATATGTGTGAAAAGTACAACAAAAATCGCAGTTGAACTTTTATTTATTTTCAAACTGTACAAGTTATATTCTTTTATTAAAAATTCATTTTTATAACAATTTCTTGAAAAATTGACACAAAGAAAATTGACATTGATTATACTAGTTATATTCTTTTATAAAAAATTCATTTTTATAACAGTTTTTTAAAAAATTGACACAAAGGAAATTGACATTGATTATACTAGTTATATTCTTTTATAAAAAATTCATTTTTATAACAATTTCTTTAAAAATTGACACAAACGAAAATTCACATTGATTATACAAGTTATATTCTTTTATAAAAAATTCATTTTTATAACAATTTCTTAAAAAATTGACACAAAGGAAAATTCACATTGATTATACAAGTTATAGTCTTTTATAAAAAATTCATTTTTATAACAGTTTCTTAAAAAATTTACTGAATTGAATAATAACAATTGGTTTGAGGAAAAAAATTTTGTTGTGAAAACTTGTTTTGTAAAAATATAATTAATGATTTTGTGATTTTCCTATGTGAAATGGTTTTTGTATGAGAATTATTTATAGGTTTGAAGGGTATGAACTTCAGTTCCCAATCAAAAGTTGAGGATTGCAGGATTTTGATAGCGTAGCGTAATACCCAGCATCATTAAAACTTCATGATCCCCAGTATCTACTAAATAATCCCCTATCTCCATATGTCCCTTTGTGGACCTCATCCCCGTGACGTGTTTCCTTCCCCACGAAGACACGCACGGTCTCCGTTTCCGGCTGTAACCACGAGCGAGTAAATGTTAACGATAGTCTCTAATAGAGCGAAATAGAGGAGAATAGGGGTTGAGAAGGTGCTCCTTCGTTCTCCGTCTCTCTTTCGGAAAAAAAAGTCGAAAACCATCGAAGTCGTCGACCGGAGGGAAGGAAAGGAACACAGAAGCGTGGAAACGGCGGGACACGGGACGAAGGGTGGAAAGACAGAGAATATCGCGGTATACGGAACACCGGGAGCTCGAGTTGTTCGAGAATAAAAGAGTAATTTTCCGGGTGGTGAGACCCCGATAATGGGGTTGCAGACTGCCGAGTCGACTGGAAAGTGATTAAGCACACATGACGGAGCCCGTGGACTCGTCAGGATATTACGAGCCACCCCTTTCAACCCACCTCCACCGTCCTGTCCTCCCTCCGCCTCCCCCTTCAACCCTCTCCTTCCCTTATGTCATCCACCTTCTTCTGCTCACCTACACCGCGGTTCGTACCTCTAATTCCTCGTCCCTTACCTTATTCGTACACGATATTGGACAGATAACGATCCTTTCCTGCATTTCTACGACTACCAGCCCCAACCCTCTTGGACCTCGAGGTAACCGGTCCCCGATATCGACTCTCCGTTCCAGCTCTCGATTCTTCCGGTTCTGCGACCCTTTGCGAAGGTGAACGAATCGTTTTGGAATCGAAAGGTTCGATAAAAGGGAAAGAAAATAATGGGAGTAACGCTGTAATAATCCTTGCCGTCGCATCAAAGATCGTAAACAACAGAGAAACTGTACTTCAGTTAATATTGACTAGCATCGTTGAACTATTCAGGAGCAAGTTGTACAGCTCCTTAGTGCTCGGTTAGCGTGCCGAACGCAAACGACCCACGAATCTCCGTGAAGGGGGTAAACTAGCGGCAAACAATCCCACAAACCCGTGGCCATAATTTCAGCGCTTCCGTCTGAAAACGACCATCTTCGTCTCGATTACAAACTCCGGTCCTAGTAATCGAGAGCCCGAGGACCGATCTCTTTACGGTCGAGCGGTAGACGATCGTTATCCAGGGGGTTGAGAGTGGCTTTATCATGGAAAACCACGCGTTGACCGATTTCGTGCACGGCCAGGGTCTCTCGAAAGGGGGTGGCAGAGTACGTACCTCCGGGACATATTCAGGCCGCGATACGCAAAAAGGAGCCACCACCGGCACAGGGGGGTGGAAAGTGAAAAGAGAGTCCATACGCCGCAACGAAACGATAGAAAGAGGAAGTTGGATGAAGGAGGGGGATGAAGGGTAGAGAAGTATTGGCCTCGTCAAGCGGTTTCAGGCTTGCCGATATTCCGGGCGCTTCTCGTCGACCCTTATGAAGCCAATTACACTTTGCCTCGCCAAAGGCACCCCACTTATAACCGGCAGTCGACGTTTCTGGGGCTCTTCGGGTCGCGACCGGTTCTGCAGCACGTACCGGTTATATTAGATACCGCTACTGTAAAAGCTGCTGCTACTGCTGCACCCCTTTTTCGTACCTCGGCCCTCGATACGTCTGCGAACCGTGTAACCATCCGGGGTTGACATCGGTAACGAAGGGGTTTTAAATACGCTCGAAATCTAAACTATATTTTACCCCAAAATTTCTCATGTCTCATGTCTCGTTTCATGTCTTTGGATTCAAATAAGTTTGCTTCATTTTTAGGTAGGTTAGAGGGTAGGTTAGGGCTGTACTTTAGTACAGTAATACTGCCAGATGGGATTTTGCAACTTTTCTGTACTATTACAATTTTTGTTTATAGGTTCGAATAATTTACAAGTCATTTTCAAATTATTTAGTATTAATTTACTGCTGTACTTACATACCCTAAAATAATCAAAATGACCGAGAAGTAAAAATTATGCAAAACTAGCCGAAAGTGAATTTATTTAACTAACATAATTTCAACTATACCGAGATATAACATAAATTCGTTTAAATTTAATTATTTCCTTATTTGACAGCAACGATATTTATCTGCTTTGACTGCCATTTAGCAGCGTTTAATTTAATTGCTGATCACCGCAATTTGCGCCAATGAAAACAATAGTCGCCAAACAAATGTGAAAACCTAATATTACGGAACAAGTTAATATTCGCATTAAAAATTATTATTAATTTATGGCGGTACAAAGAAAATTAGTGGCAGAATCGGTATGGTGCACGACAAATATTTTGTCAGGGAACTGATCGTCGATGGGAGATCATTGATCACTATCAATAACCATTCGTTGGGTCATCCAATCCGTGTTTGTAGTGCAAACCTCCACGATATTAAATACATAGTCACCCTATCGTCCAATCGATTCACTCTTCTTTGATCTCGCTCGTAATAATGTTTATCCTGCATCTGTTAATACGCTGCCGTCAGGCACGACGTGTCAACCCCTTCGAAAAATATCGCAAGCAAATTGAAGTTTACTGACCATGTTTTTGAAAATTCTTATTTTAAACTTATTTTACTTAATTATTATTTATTAATTAATACAGTATATCACCAGTACTCATAAGTCTGCTTCAACCTATTTTTCATAGAAGATATTCAAAATTTTTTAAGAACATGGTTGTGAACCTATTATTCATAGAAGATATTCAACACTTTTTAATAAAATTGTGAACATGAAACTTCAACTGAATTGTCAAATGAAATGAATTTTATTTCTCACATAAAAGAATTGTATGAAGGTGTACACTAATTTACTATGTGTCATTATAATGAAATTGTTTATAATTTACAAAGCGTAAATTTTGTGTAATAATAAATCACAGATGGGTTATAGTAAAAGAAGAAAAATGATGGTTAACCCGTTGAAAGACAGCATCTTGATTTTTGTTACAGGTCTGACGAGAGCACCGATGTATCCCTTCTCCACGGGTCAATATCCGTACCCCATGCTTAGCCCGGAAATGACGCAAGTCGCCACTTCCTGGTAAGTCGGTATACTCGTTCGACGACGGAAAACGTCATCGACAAAAAGCTAGATAGATGAATCTCATCTTTGTCCTTCAAGCTACTTCCAAGCAAATCAATTTCGACTGTGTCTGAAGTGTATCTCCGGGTACTTAAGATCCTTCTGATATCGTTATGAATTCAGCGGAACTCTTTTTATTTCCTCGTGATTTTTGCAAACAGCATCCTAGGGTAACCGTTGAGATCATTAGGCTATTTAACCATTAAATTGATTAATAGCGGTAGAAGTAGTTTTTGATAATTTTAGTGGTCAATGAACTGAATATTTCAGTAATAATATTTAATATTTTATGAGATACCTGTATTATAAAATATGATATAGAGAGCTGTAGTCTGACTTTATGAGTGGGTTAATCCCCTATTTTCCCTGTTTCAAAGGATTAACCATAAGATTTATCGAAGGCGATTAATCACATATGGAGATGCTGTCTGCAGCCTTGGCGCCACTGCCTCAAAAGATTATAGAAGAATTTTAATTCGATACGAGTGGTGTCCTGTAGAATTCGCGTCAGAATTCCCTCGTTAACGAGCAGCGATTCAACCGTAGACTCGAGAGCCGGTTAAAAAACGATTTCCCTACTTGCGGACCCTTTCATTCGATCGCCATTGAAATTCGATGCCGAAAGATCGCGAAATAACGTGGAATAACAGCGGAGCCAAACCGTATTCGGCCCTCGTTTTTCCGGTCAAATCACGGCCGTCTCCGATTTGGTCATCCTCTCGGTTCCGGTCTATTAGATCGACCACGTCCACCGGTTTCGTCGCCATAACGCTATAACGCACACCGAGAGAACCCTCCTCCTGCGACTCCTTCCCTCCTTGTTATTTGCTTTCTGCCCGAACCACCCTAAATTGAGATTTTCCACGGATGATTAAGCCCGTTCTTCTCAATTAGGAGGGCGGAACCGCGTCGCGAAAAAACCACGCACCTTCGGATCCTTTCCGAGGCTCTCGGAAATTGTGTTACGATTTTTTGAAAGGATCGCGAATTGACTTTTGGATTCAGCTTGATGTTTTCTGTCATACAGTAGTCTCCTATACAACACAATGCAATTACAGGTCTTAATCTAAGACAATTTTAATAAAAATCTTTAATAGTCGTTAAATTTTAAGTCGTATTACATGTTTTCTTTTTAGAGTAAAATATTCAACAAAAATCTTCAAAAATAATTTCTACAAATTTTCAAGAAAGTTTGTAGAAAACTTTTGAGTTAAATTTTGTGACAGACGAGTGTTATATGGGACAACCACTGTTAGCGTTAAAATTTATTTTCGTTACTCAGCTATGATTTTTTGATTTTTTACAAATTTATTTTCCCGATTGAAGATTTCAACAAGTTGAGATTATTCTATCTTTTTTTTGCTTAATGAAGCTTTTTTATTTAAATGTAGGCACTGATTGTTTGTAACAGTTATTGTATGTGTGACATTGATTATTTTCAGGCTAAACTCTTTGACAAGCAATGGTTTCGTTTCCAGGCATACACCAAGCATGTACCCCATTTCCCCGGCAAGCACTGGTTTTCGAAGTCCGTATCCCACGAGTTTGCCCATCACAAGTTCTAGTTTACCAAGGTTAGTAGGTGATCGAGATCAGATTTGTCAAGTTTACCGTCACGGAATCAGACTAATTCCAGTTACATGTTTGTACACTAATTGCGTACCATTACATGTTCCACATGAAATTGAATCATCGAGCGTGTCAGTGTTCTCCGTATATTTCCTCGAATATGTACATCAATCATTACCTAACGAAATTATTTCATTGACGAACGCAAGATCAGATTTAAACGCAATTTTTAACTTTCAAAATTTTTAAATAAATTCAAACTTGGAAACACCGTGTGTACCAATTGCAAAGACACTTATCTTGTTTATCACATAAAAAAATTCTCAAAGCAATTCCATTTGAAAAATTCCATTAAAGTACAATGTTACAACATGGAGTAATTTATGATATTTAAAAAATATATATGTTGTATAAAATATTTCATTTCTGAATTTAAAATATCTCTTGAATCAGTTAACCCTGCAAAAATATCAATGACTTTAAAATCTCGCTAAAATGACCTTAAAAATATGTAAAATTTTTTGGAACTACATAATTACATGTACTTTTTGAAATAGCACAAAATTGTCTTCAGAAAATTTTTGGAAGTCCATAATCAAGATATGTGCACCAAAAAATGTATACTCAATTGGGACACCATATATAACGTTGAACATTGCAGGGTTCAAGAGATTTTGTACATACTTTCGAATGAAAAAATGAGGGATCTGACCCTACCATGGTTAATGTTTCCAGTAAGGATTGCACAATAAATGAACCGCTCGAACCGTGACAATTTCGCGTGTGAGAAATCGACAGACTCTCACCTGCCTGTTTGAAGCGTGCAATCACCCAGGGTATCGGAATTTTTTTTCCAGTGATCTGTACCGGTTTTCGCCGACTGGTCTGATGCCTCCGCATCCTGGACTGAGTCCGCACGCACACGCGTTGGCGTCCCACGCGTTGATCTCCTCGGCGCCGAAAACGGATCATTCTACCTTGGATCACAATCACAGGTTCGTTCTCACCGACATAACGGCGACACCTGGACCATTTTCAGGGAATCGAGCCGTGCGCCGAGCTCGTTCAATAAATCCTACCCCTTTTTTTCCATCGTCCCTTCTTTACGAGCTACCCTAACGTCCCGTCAGAGCACCATTACCTTCGATTGATCGAGGAGATGTCCTGCCAGGAGCGTGTCGCGGCTTTTAATCGATTCACGGGGCTGGCCTGACAAACTACCGACGAATTTATTTAACGAGGAACGAAAGGAAGAGCCGAAACGCCGATCGGAGATAACGCGGAGCGTGTCAAAGCCTGGCAGCTTCCATATAACGCGGGCCTAATTTGCGCTCTGTCGGAACGAATCCCTGATAGACACGCTTTGATCATAGCCACGAGCGTGCTGGTAAATATTGCAGCCGGCGGTGTTGGCATTATCGAAGAACGGAACGGGTCAGTCGATAATTTACTGGATACATTGACACGGAAAACAGGGGATGATTTCGACGGATATCTTGGAGCGAAACGTTCAACAGGCTATTAATTTATCCCGGATAGGAAGCTTTATCCGGGAGGAAGCTTTATCCTTCCATCGATAAAGGAAAGAATTTCGTCCGTTGATAAAGAAGCGTCTCGCAGTATCGAAGCTTGACGAATAGTTTCAGCGACGACCATAGGGGGTAGCACGTCCCGGGGTGTTCAACCCCTCGTGCAGTCGTTCGTTCCCCCTTCGCCGACTAGGCACGTATAACACTTATTGAATGACTCTCTTCGCACAGCGTCTGCGCCTGCCGCCGCCACCTCCACCTCCACCGCCGCCGCCGGTTATGTATTGATCATTACCCTCTTAAACAGATTTCTAATTTGCATTAGTACCCGGCCGATCGCCTGGCCCTCGCATCGTATACAAAGCCGCATGGTCGCGCTTCCTATATTCGAGGCACGCGTAGCCATGAACGCTGCCGATCAGCTGGCTGGACGTGGCTCGTTCTTGAAGAGGGGAGTATCGCGTGCCGGGACGGCGAAGCGTCAGGACGCCGCCGACAGGCTTTTACGAGCGGCCTAGACTGCCGTGCTCGTTGGCGCGAGACTGGTCTTCCATTTTGACCTTCGAGGCGGCCCACGTGCTTCTGGGACGGGATCGTCGCGAGGAAGATTTCTTCGTTCATCGTGAATCGACGATCTGGGAGTAACACGTGCACGTTCGACGAGATCAACGGGGGCTATCGATCTTGACTCACGTGCCGAGATCGAACGGAGAGAGTGGTGGCACACTCTCGAGGCCGAGCGTATCCTCTTTGTGTTCCCGAAGGAAAAGAGCAGCTGATCAGAGGACGACGAGTGTCCTTTGTCCAGGTGGCGACGAGTACCGGTGCTCGCGAGACATCGGCGGCCGATGGTAGCGCCACGCAGCCCGCCAAAAAAAGGCATCACGCAGGGAAAGCGGAGAGAATGCAATCTTCACCCCCCACGCGCGAATTATACATCGGCGGATGGTAGGGTGTCGTTGCTGCGGAGCCATGAATCGCGATGATGGCCCCACGGTGCAGCCCTCCTCCCCGCCCCGCACTTGCGGATAATCAATCGTCGTAACACCGCTCGGTGATTCCACCGACGCCAGGAACGACGCGTTTTCGTTGGATGTGGGATACAGGGTGGCAAGTGGACGAGGACACCGACGGGCTCTGTTCGGCGGCCCTGGTGCGATACGCGCATCGCGAGACGCTCGTAAAATATTGTGCCGGGTAAAGATCGCGAAACGAGCGACGAAAGAGAAAGGAAGAGAGAGAGAGAGAGAGCGAAAAAGAGAAAGAGAGAATACTCGTCGGCGAAGGGAGAGACAAAGGCCGATCGACGAGAAGGAAGATTCCGGGCGTAAAACGCGCGAGGATGCCGCCCCCGGAGACATTTTACCGTGCGATTCGTCCGCTCGACGCTCATGAATGTTGAATGCCGTCCACGACGATATGGAGCCATTAAGATCGACGACGATACGCGACGTGCCAGGCGGGCGGGACGCGACGTGAACAGTGAGTGTTTCGGCTGCTTCCGGGATGACGCGATCGCCGGTGTCTCGAGACGACGGACGATAGTGGCGTAAATGTTGTGCGCGTACGTGTGCTGTTTACAACGGGGACTGTTTCATGAGGACTGTTCGTCGGCGTACAGTATGCTAGGACACGGGGACGCGAGCATGGAGTCGAAGACGACGCGCAGGGACGTAGAGATTACCGACGCTACCGACCGTTACGGTTCCTCGAAACGCAAGATGACACCGTGCTCGAACGACGACGACGACGCGAAGACCGACAAACCCGACAGCATCGGTGTGCTGCAACGTTACTTGAGCCACGGCGTCGATCACTGTGTCGCGGACGTTCACGTGTACGGTAAAACGAGCACGAGAGGGCTCGAATAGGGAAAACGGTGGTTAGCACGTATGTACATAGGTTTCGATGGATCAGTCGAGAGCGTTCCGGTGGGTATAAACGGGCCCACGAGTGCAGCGCGGTTCGGCGATGGAGCCCGAGTGTCTGGAGCCGCTGAACCTGGTGATAAAGAAGGACGACAACACTGAGAACGGGCCGACCGTGATCGAGGAGAACAGCCAGACGTCATCGATCAACAGGATCGACGAGGAGAGCAGCGAGTCGAAGACCGTCGACAACATGACGATACTCCAGGACGCGATGAAGGCCGACGAGGCTGGTTTACCAACCGCCGATCACAAGATCCTCACGGCACTCTACATGAGCAGCCTGATGCAGTTGTCGAACATGAACATGCCTAGGAGCGTCACGCCGCCTCCGTACGGTGCTCAGCACAACTTCATGCAGCTGCTGATGGTCGAGGCGCGACACCGCATGTGGCAACAGATGAACTGGCCCTTGCCACAGAACTTTCATAGGAACCCGTTAACGTTACCCCAGCCGTACTTCGACGGGCCTACCTCGAACCTCACGGAGCAAATGTGCAATTCCCAAAACGCTGCACCTGCTTATCCCCTGTCCTGCACGAAACCCGAACAACCCCTGAATCACGACGCAGAGTTACCCTTGAAGCAGCCCTACTTCAAACGGTAACAGACCGACGTAGTTCGATTTTGCGCGCGAAACTATCGTACATAGTTCGTACAGAGTTTCGATAAGGTGATCTAATGTATTTTCTTGATTCTTTTGTACGCAGGTCTTCGGTAGAACAGAAGAACTCGACGTCGTTACCCACGGACAACTCGAAAGCTCAGGACACGGGGCAGCAGAACAATCAAGGTAAGGATCGTTTAACGGATCTGGGCTTCGGTGATCAGTTTACCGTTGATTTTCACTGTAGAGGCCACCTCTCATACCCGTCGATGATGTTTGACAGATAAAAAGAAACCCCATATAAAAAAGCCTTTGAACGCATTTATGCTGTACATGAAGGAGATGAGGGCGAAAGTCGTGGCGGAGTGTACCTTAAAAGAGAGCGCTGCCATCAACCAAATATTGGGAAGACGAGTGAGTAGCTGGCGAATAAGTACATTTTACGATCATCAATTTTTTAAACGTTTTCAAAGCTATTACATCAGGGTCTGTAATTCGGTGTTATTGTAAACGTCGAACCTTATGGTAGGTGTTACATTTGTGTATTCACAACGCTTTTCATCGCCATTAACGATACCGAAACTGTTTCAGGAACGAGTCAGCTCGTTTAGAAGAAGCAGACATTTGAAAGTGTATCGCTAATGGAGATTTACGGTCGAAAGAAAGATTTCATTGTCGAGCAATTAGAAGCGAGCAGAACCCTGATGTAAAAGTAACAGACACACGCCGGAGTCAAGATTTCCTTCCGTTCTCTTTGGTACCCTTTCCAACGCGTTTGGTACGGGTCCAATTTAAAACCGTACGGCAGAAAAATCAAAAGAAGCACGATTCAGTGAACAAGAACCGAAAAAGGCGAGCCTCGGTTCGGAAATGTTGACTCTCGGCGGCCATAGGGGAAGATCGGCATCCCCGGAGACGCCTTTAACGGGGCGTCTCCAAGGACGAGATCTCGAATCAAAAGGATAAAAGGATAATTGCATGCGTTTTTTTAACTTCTTTCGTTGATCCGCGATATTGATCAAGTCGAAGCACTAACCGTATACCTGCTAGTTACATCGAATAGACGGATAGATAAATTAGATAGATAGCTAGTCTAGCTAGATAGAAAAAGAGAGAGAGAGAGAGAGAGAGCATCGTAGGTGGGATCTATGGAAAAAAAATCTCGTAACGAGAAGATTTTTTTGTCGGGGTCGGGAACGAGAAAACGGGGTCGGGTGACGAGGAGGACCACCTCTCTCTTGGTGTATCTTGACTCTGAACGAGTCGCAAAGACGAGCAGATTAAAAAAAATACACACGTATTACGATAACGAATTTAAGCAAAAAAAAATGAATACAGAATTAAAAATAAGACACGTGAGAAATAAAAAAAAGGGACACACGGTGCACGGATAAATACTGTGAGACTGTGAATCTGTGAATCTGAATTTTGGGGGTATGACACGCAGTGGCACTCGCTAAGCCGGGAGGAGCAGGCGCGGTATTATGAGGCGGCCAGGCAGGAGCGCCATCTCCATCAGCAACGATACCCCGGCTGGAGTGCCAGGGATAACTACGGATACGGCAGCAAGAAGAAGAAGAGGAAGAAAGAACGGTCCGCAGATCCCACCGGAGGTACCACTTTCCAGTGCTAGAACAGCAGGCCCTTAATAATTCATAATAATAATAATAATAATTCATATAGATTACCTACTGGTTGATATTGAAACGATCAAAGTCTCTTGTGCGTTTCATTCTGTTTTTTATTTGATGATGACAACCTATCGACTACTGTTGTCTCTATTTTTTTTTTAGTATTTTTTTTTGTTTGTTATTATATTTGGTTTCTGTTCAATTGTCATTTACATTTTTTTGTCGAATTTTTTTTTAATTATCTGGCATATTCACTCTTCAACTCGTGCGGACTTGTGTTTTATATTTTTTAATGATGAACAGCTCTTCGGACGCGTACGTGCGCGTGCAACCGCACGCGTGCGTACACGCTGTTTCCGTTGGTTTGTTTTTTTTTTTATAACGTCGACTCGATTTATATTGGATTGTCTGTTGGGGTAACGGAACCAGGCACGCGTCGACCCTGGTGCGACGAAGGGGGAAGGAACGAACTCCCGCGGCATGCGAACATGTACGCAGATTCTTTTTTTTTTTCTATATCTGGCCAAACTCCCTAAAGCGGTATCCGTTCACGGAGAGACGTACGATTCGAATGACGAAAGTGGGACGAAAAAAAAAGGAAAATGTTCACGAACGTTCATTAACGAGAGCATATGTCATGTATCGAAGATATTCGAACCAGAGTGAAAAGACGTATGATTGAGAGCCTTCACGGTACGGGATGTCTGGTAGAGACAACACGTTTTCCTTTCTCGATCGTTTCGAACGGGACCGTTGTTGTTGTATCCTTCTTAGCCCCATACCCGACGATTTATGGACTCCTGATCTAACGAGAAAGTCATTCTGCTTTTCCTTCGTCTCGACGATCAAAAGTTTACTATGTTCTTTTAATGGATGAGTGATGTGTCTAACTCTGTGTCCCGTTGAAATGTCATCGATCGAAAGGTACGAATACACTGAAAAAAGTTAGTGTCTAGTGGTGTAATTATTTATTCATTTCTGTGTATTAACCGTTTGAGTGTCATGCAGCTCGCCATTTTGTGACACCGGTTCTGCAGAAAAGTGCGTAGGCGTTGAAACCATTGGGGGTGAAAATATCTACTGGTGTAACTAGGACTTCTCGGGGCGAATTCTAACTTTACTAACAATGTGAACAGGTTCGACCGAATTTTCAGAATTGGGAAATTTGAGATTTTAGATATTCGAGGACTTGAAAGTTTCAAGACTGGAAGTTTGGAAACCTGAGACAAATTCTTTAATTTTTAATGGAGGGTAATGAGATATTCTACATTCTAGGACCATCGGGGGGTTAAATTTACCTTAGTACTCGCCTAGTTACGTCAGTAGATTGGAAATTAAAATGTGCCATCAAGAGTCTAAAGATACCATCGCATCAAAAAAATTATTCAGAAAGGTGCTACAATTAAAAATTCGAAAAGTGCTACCATGAGCTTTGCACACGAACTTTGATTTATGAACTAATATACCTTGAATACCCTAAGATAATTGTACCTATTTGTAAATTGGCACTTTTCGAACGTGTACGTCCGTGGCACTCAACGGTTAAATGAATGACAAGTACATCCTGTAAATATATTGCAGCATATTTTTTCAGTGTATACGCCAGTGAAGAGTCCTATCTTCGCTGGATGATTCGGGACCACGATTTTGCGACCCTCTCTATCAGACACCCTGTATCGTCAAATATAATTGAAACTCGACGATAACGACGAATAGCGGTACAAGCGAGGGGGAGGGGAGAATGTAGGCTGTTCTTCTAGCACTTTAAACGGAAAGTAGGGACCCCAGTGTTAAAAACGCAAAGCAAATGCAACGATGCGCGTGGAACGGTATCGAAAAGTGCATCGATAAAGACGAGATTTTTTAATTTAACCGTAACTAAAAAAAAAAAAAAGAAAAGAACGAGAAATACGCTTATCGTAGATAAATAATCTTTAACCAGAGTTAACAGCAAGTAAAATTAGAAAAAAAAAGAAACGAAAGATGCAATTTTAGGGTGGCGGCAGTAGCATTAGTGAATCTCTATTTTTTTTTTATCTTCTTCTTGATTAAAAATATTGTTTAGCTCACGGTTCATGCACAATTACAAATAGTGTTTGGTTCTCTCTCGGTAGTGGCACGCGCTAGGGCGAGAGGAACAGGCCAAGTATTATGAGTTGGCGCGACGGGAGAGACAGTTGCACATGCAGCTGTACCCTGACTGGTCTTCCCGCGCAAATACCAACCGAACTAAGAAGAGGAAGCGCAAACAAGACACAAACAGTGATCCTGGAGGTACCCACATGCCTCACTCCACACATTCTTTACAAGCTCCCCCCGCCCACCTCGTACGGCAACACCAACAACAACGACAACAACAGCTACAGAAATTTATTGAATACTCCACCTCACCCCCTTTCAACAGCCCCCCACCCCCTCATTATTACATATACTATATATATTATATAATTATTATATACATTCTTTATTGCTACACTACATTATGTTGCATGTTTTCCCCCCGTCTTGGGGTTTTGGGTCGATATATTATTATATATATATATATATTCTACATATATATATGATTATTATTATTATTATTATTATATTAATGTTACATACATGCACATGCATATTAGACGTTCATATATACATATATATATGTGATTTATATGGTTTTTCAGTAGCTTTTGTTTTTCTTTTCTTCGATTCGAAAACAACAATAACAGTAACAACATAAAAATAATAGTTCTAGAGCAGAGCAAAAGAAAGTGTCTAGTAGTAAAGAGAAAAGAATGTTAACGGGATATAAAAAAAAAGAAAGAAAGTAAAAAATAATGTTCATTAGCGGGCGTGCACGTACGCATGCGCACGTGCGTGCCTCCATGTTTGAACGTACCGTACGTAATTTACATTGATATATATATTATTGTACGTGAGACAAGATATAATATCGTGTAGAACGGGAAGAAAATGGGACACGAGCGCATTCAGTACACACGTACACGCACATGACACAAGCATTTATTAATTATTAATTACGTATACAACTTTGGGGACGCTGGCCATCTTGCATTTTTACAGGGACCTATACTCCGCAATCAGACAATCCTAAGCGTTTTTAATTTTTCACTCAGTCTCTCTTTCTCTGTGTTTCACCTACTATTTTTCTTTTTTCTTCTATTCTCTTCTATCCACCACTCTGTGCTCTCACTCTTCTTATTTCTTTTTTCTCTCTTTGTCGCTCTTACTTTCATCGCTGTCGCTCTGTTCTTTTCTTTTCTTTTTATATTTTAACTACGATACGCTGGTTTCAATTCACATCACCTTCTTTTTCTCTATTTTCTCGCTCACCACCATATCACCATCACCTTTGATCGTTTCAACGTTGCCTGTCGACCTTGTCGATTATTTTTCTCCTTTTTGTTTTTTCTTCTAATTATCGTAATTTATTTATCAGCTGCCTTTTTTATTTCGTTTGGTTCTATATGGTCACCTCTAATCAATCACTCAATTATTCTTGACCCTTACACGCGAGTTTGTTTCGTTCACGATGCCTGAGCGCTCGGGTTTCCTATTTTTTTTTTTTATATTCTTTTTTATTTTTTTTTTTTACATTCATCTTTAATATTTATCATCTAGAGCTTGCGTTTAATACAGTTCACGACATTAATTGAGTAGATATGATCTTTGATCGTATTTTTTACGCCGTTTAACGTTTTTACGCTGCATGCCGTTTTTCACAAGGGAAGCGTATCACCTTCGGCGCCGATTATGCTCCAGATTTCACACGATTATGGACCAAGAGTAATCCTCTCGACGTTATAGCACCTGGTACGGTGCTAGAGCTCTTAACTTTAATTAGTTTTCATTCTCTTTTAAATTTCAAAAATATAAAGATGATGAAGCTTTAAATTTTATATAAGAAAATTCAGAAAATTTTAACTGGAAAATTATGCAAATGCATACGAGAGAAAGCGTGCTATAATTTCGCAGGATCATTGTGGTCCTTTATAATTGCGAGAAGTTTGGGCCCGATTGGATCCAAGGTCGTGCGCTCCCCTCAGCTTGACAAAATATCTTTCTTTTTTTTTTATCGATCCGGGCTTCTTCCCTGAAGACTGCAATTTTTCACAATTATAAATATTATGAAGTCTTCTGGGAAAATCCTGTTTCACCGATATATATTGTCGAACTTTAACCCTGAAGCAAATGTTACGCAAAGCTCTCTGTTACTCGCATGACTAGTCGTAATCGATGAATTTAAAATGGCAGATCGAGACAATATGTATCGGCGATAAAAAAGAAGGGAACTCTCCCCTGTTCACAGACGCAGGAAATCTTTCCAGAAATACTAAATGTACCTTTCGAATTTTTTAGGTAACAACATGAAGAAATGTCGCGCCAGGTATGGATTAGACCAGCAAAGCCAATGGTGCAAGCCGTGCAGGTACGTGTGCATCGTGTAGAGGGTTTCTGATAACGTTGCTTCTTGAGAAGAGAGAATTTACTATACCGTCTTGTCGGCAAAGCTGCGCACGCTGTTCCGGGTCGCGTGTATATACTTATTCGATCTTGAGAAGTGTTGAGAAAGACTAGAAATTTCACGTCACACGTGTAGTTCCACTAGACTTACTTTTTACATGTGATGAATGATGGTGAACGATTATACGAGCACGGGTTGCTTCCACAATTTCTTTGTGCTTCTTACAAGCTCTTATAAGAAAGGCTCTTGTAACATAGTCTAAAATTTCTGTAAACTTCAGTAACCTGTCTGACACAGTTCCTCTTCACTTGTTCAATTTTTAAATTTGATCTAAATTTTCTTATTATATTCACTTGTTTAAAATATGATAAAAAATGTGACTGTTTATGTACATGGTCATTACTTGTTCAATTACAAAAAAGGTACATATCTGTTCTTGAAGAGGGTGACATGAAAGTATCACAAAATGGCGCTCACGATGCATCAATTTGAAGCTTGAAGTTTAAAAATGACTTTGAAGTTTAAAAATGAAGAATGCATTTTGTATTAATTTAATAAGAATGCATTTTATTATGTGTACATATATGTATTTTAACTGTAAAATGTAAAGTGGTTGTTTCGCAGTAGAATCAGCCATTTTGCAAACTATCGACGAAGCGTTTACGTGATTTCGCTAAACTTTAAGCTGTTTGATGTGGCGAGTTTGCGCTACTTTCATGTAATCTTGTATCAGACTTGATCGATCAGTTGTAACCTAATGCAACCCGGGCACGAATACATAGTACTCTCGATTATCACCACTTCTTATTGTAATCGTCTTCTGCTCCGTTCCGTCATCCACATGTTATCGTGGAACTTGAAAAGAGCCGACGCGTGATTCATAAATAATGATAGCATTCGAAGCATAGATACACGCGATCTAGTCACCCATTCGATAAAGGAGCAAGTAGAACGCGCGAACTACGCGCGACCGTCAGAAAATGTGTCTTCCAAAGAGCAAAATATGCAAAAGAAGAGAAAAATTGAGGGGAGAATAAAACACAGTTAAAAGTATCGCACGTTGCTGGATCGATGCAACCGTGGCATCGTCCACTTGTATTTTGCTTGTAAATAACTTTACTAGATAACCACACTGTAGTTTATTGCGGCATCACGAGCCACCCGTTCTAGCGCCATTTTAACTTCCGTTTCTCACTGTACGTAATCGCACAGTGCGCCCAAAACGCCCCAACTCCCGGCTGGGTTTGTGAATCTCATGGACCTCATTAAAGGGGCGATGACGAATCCCAACCATGCGATCACATCTTCAAATCAGATACTATTACAGATGCAAACGTTGGTGTAACTTAGGGATGTTTATTGTCACTCTGCACTTGTAGAATCTTCAGATGATATGTTAGTTAATATTTTAGGATTTTTAAGATTTGTGTGGTGTTATCAAATATTGGCTTTGAATTCTCAGAATATTAAATTACTAAATTTTCATAGTTCAGATTCTTGAATGATTAAAGTGAGGTAGGTTAAATTTTTGAATGATCCAATTTCTAGATTTCTAAATTCTCAAATGACCAAATTTGTGGATTCCTACGTTTCCAAATCCCCACTTTCCCAAATTCCCACATTCCTAGGTCCCCACACTCCCAAATCCCTACATTCCCAAATCCCCACACTCTCAAATCCCCACACTCCCAAATCCTCCACACTCTCAAATCCCCACATTCCTAAATCCCCCACACTCTCAAATCCCCACATTCCCAAATCCCCCACACTCTCAAATCCCCTACACTCTCAAATCCCCACAATCTCAAATCCCAACACTCTCAAATCCCCCACACTCTCAAATCCCCACATTCCCAAATCCCCCACACT